GGGGTGGGGGGGTGGGGAAGGTGACCTGCTGCCACTCAGCCGGCCAAGGTCCACACAGATCTCTGGGCCCTTGCCAGCTCCCAGGGTGTTCCAGGGGCTTTGCAGCTACTGCCTCCGGTCCTCGGTCTCCGACCTGGAAAATGCCATCACCACGTCCTCTGCACCTGCAGCAGGGGAAGAGAAATTGCAGGATGGGCCTCTGGCATCGGGCTGCAACCTGCGACCAGGCGAGGAGGCTGTGACCCCTGGGCGCAGTTTAAGTCCAGCTTGGCAAGGTGCTTTCTGAGTATAAAGTGCTTTCAAGAAAGCCACCTCCCCTTTGGGCCCTCCCTGCAGCCTGGCCAGGAAATGTGCCAGCACCTTGTGGCAGGGTGCGGGGGAGAGGTCCAGAGGCTTGCTCAAGGCTACACAGCTGAGAGGTGAGTGTGAGGAGGACCCAGGGCTGCTGATCCTGGGGCAGGTCTCACTCACATCCCTTGCTCCAAGGTCACCGAAGCCAAGGGCCCTTGGAAACCTCCCCTTTTTCTTAAGATTCTTGTTTCCATCCCTTTGGAGGCCCTTGCTCATTATGATTTCTAATAGCCATTCCTCTTCGCCCAAACCCAACACCTGCTCCAAGGAGCATAGCCAGGCGCATTTCCAGCCTGCAGCCAGCCAGGCTCCTATGAAGACAGATAATGGCCATAATCTTTATTATTGTTTTTTTTTTTAATCGTGGATTTGAGATTCTGGTCCAGGCACTCATGAAATCACTTCCTTTGTCTCGTTTTCCATAAGACAGGCTCTGACATGCATCCAGAAAAGGCAGGAGGGAGGAGGGAAAGCGCTTGAAATACTGACCGCCCCCCCACCAAAGCTGCTGGAGGAGGAAGGGGCTGGCTGAGGCGCAGACCCTGCAGGGCAGGTGAGCTGACGGGGGGTCCCATGGTGCCTCCTGGGCCGTGGCCCTCCCTGAGTCCTGCCACTTTCTCCCCTTTTTCTAAAGGACGGTTCTTGGTTATGCCCAGAACAGTGACACTGCGCTGCTTGTGGCCTTTCCGACATCCTTCTCTTCTGTACTAACGGGAGGACTTCTCTAGGGAGGGCAAGATCCGGAGAGGGGACACTGAAAGGCCACGGAAGGGTGAGCCGCTGTGGGTGGTGTGCGGTGGAGCTTCTGGCCAGTGAAACGGGGTCAGGGGAGGGCAGGACTGCACCCTCGCCCCACCTCCCGAGTCGCGGTGCTGGCCGTCTCCGGCCACGCCACAGGGCAGTCTCCGCCTCACACTGGCAGCCTTCTCCTGACCCAGGAGCGGCCGGGGGCCTCACCGTGGGTGCCACAGGGATGCGACAGCACAGAGACGCCTTCCATTCAGCACTGGCCGCGAAGTGGTGCGACCCTGCCTGCCACACCCCCTGCCCGGCCTTAATGGGGATCTGCTGCCGCCAGCCAGCTCCATTCCTGAAAAGGGGAGCACGCTTCCAGAAAGGAGCTCTGGTTGTCTGTCTCCTTGGGATGGGGCTCCTCTGCGTGGGAAGCCCCACATCTCCTTCTCTGGAACATTCTGTTCTCGCCTCAGTTCCAAGACCACGCGATACCACTGCAGGCAGAATTTTCCTAGCAACCACAGAGTCCAGGATTACGTCATACCCTGGGTGGCAGCTGAGCGGTTCCCTAACAGATGCCGCTTCCCGGAGTGCCGCCTCCCCAGCTCACTAGTCAGTGGGGGGCTGGGGAGACCGCGAAACGGGAACTGTCAGCGCACGAAGCCTCAGCTGCAAGGTGCAGAGGCCGCCTATTCGCGCCTGCCTCGGGGGCTTTCTCACAGGGACCTCGGGCCTCTGTGCTGAGCTGCAGGCACAGAAATAGCACTGGCTGCCCCAGGAGGGAACCGAGAGTTGACAGAGGGACTAGCCACTGAGTCCTTGGAATGGCCAGGGCTCCCCACAGCACAGCTGCCCAGTGTGTGTCCCCAGGCTACACTGAGCTGGGGAAGGAAGTGACCTCCTTAAGGTCACACAGGGATTCTGATGACTATTGAGCAAGACACCTGAAGCAGAGGATTTGCCTGTCCCACCCATGCCACACTGACAGCTGGTCCCCCGCCCTGGCTGGGTGGGGAAGGCTGGGAATCCATGGTCTCATTTAGGAGCCACCCACCCTGCTGCCGGAGCCAGGCGCAGACAGGGCCCGCAGAGCTGCTGCCCATCCCAGGCCTGGTTCTGCTCCTCAGGGACCATACTGTTTTCCAGGCTTCACCACAGAGATCCTCTTTCCTTGGGGCCCAAGAAGGCGCCGGCTCTTCCAGAGCATCCTCTGACCTATCCTTACCACCAGCTGGCCTGCCTCTCATCAGCCGACAAGGACCTGACTATGGACCTGCAGGCCGCTGGGCAAAGACTCACCTTTACCCAACCCCTTTCTCTACGAAATTTCGGCCAGTTACCTAACAGGGAGAGTGAGCTGCTCAATTACCATGATTCTAGCTGTTAGAGCTTTAGAGCCAGAAGGGACCTCAGAGGTTGATCACCACACTCCTCCTTCTCCTCTAAAGGCCAGCATGTGGTATCTCCCTTGGGTGCTCTCACTGTCCTGAAATCACAGGGCTCAGAATAGGAAGACACCGCAAAGAAGCCAGCAAGCCCAGCCCACTGCCTTTGGGTGGTTAGGCAGGTCATATCCCATTTTACAGATGAGACCGTGTCCACCTCTTTGGTCTGGATTCAGCCTCGGGGCTTCTGTTCGTCCCTCCCCACCACATGTAGGTAAGTGCAGGAGGGGAGAAACTGATCAGTCTCTCCTGCCCCTTACTCTCTAACACAGTAAAAGATAAAAATAGCTGAAACCAGATGAAAACACAAGGCAGAAGAACTACAGACCAGTATCTCTTATGAATATAGATATTCATAATACCTATGATATGCAAAAATACTCAACAAAATACTAGTAAACTGAATACAGCAACGTATAAAAATAATTGCATACACTGACCAACTGAGATTGATCCCAGGAATGCAAGGTTGGTTTAATATCTGAAAATCAATTAATGTAATATATCAGATCAATAGAATAAAGAAAACCAGATAATCATCTGAATAGACATAGAAAACACATCTGACAAAATTCAACAGCCCATCATGATGAAACATCTAACACTAGGAACAGAAGGGAACTTCCTCAATCTGATAAGGGGCACTTACTAAAAACCCACTGTTGTTATCATACTTAAAGATGAAAGATTGAAAGCACTCCTCCTTTAAGATTAGGAACAAGAAAACGATGGCCACTCTATTTCTATTTAATATTGTGTTAAAGATTCTAGGGCATTTAGGCAAAAAAAGAAAGAAAAGGCATCCAAATTGGAAAGGAAGAAATAAAACTATATTTGTAAGTGACATGGAACTTGTACATGGAAAATCCTAAGGAATCTACAAAGAAACTATCAGAACTAATAAACAAGTTAAACTTACAGGGGACAAGACCAAAATATAAAAATCATTTGTATTTCTGTACACTAGCAATGAACAATCTGAAAATAAAGAAAATTTTATTTATAATAGCATCAAAAATAATAAAATACTTAAGAGTAAATTTAATGGATGAAATACTCTAAAAAGCACAAAATATCATTGTTCAAAATATCATTGAAAGAAATTTAACACGATCCTTATCAAAATCCCAGCGGCTGCTTTTTGCAGAAATTGACAATCTGCTCCTAAAAGTTACATGAAAATGCGAAGGATCCAGAATTGCCGAAATAATATTGAGAAAGAAGAACGAAGTTGAACTCACACTTTTGAATTTCGAAACTTACTACAAAGCTATAGTAGACAAGTGTGGGTGGAATGGGCATAGGGTAGACATGGGGATCAACGGAACGGAACTGAGGGTTCAGAAATGAATCCTTGCGTTTATGATCAACCGAGTTTTGACAACAGTGCCAAGGCAACTCAATGGGAAAAAACTGAATGAATGGTGCTGGACAACTGGATATTCACATGTAAAGGATGGAGTTGGACCCTCACCTTGTATCATATACAAAAATTAAATCAAAATGGACCAATGATCTAAATATAGGAGCTAAAGTTATAAAACTATAGCTTTATATAAAGCTATAAAACCCTTAGAAGAAAACGTAAATCTTCATGACCTTGGCTTAGAAAATGGTTTCTTATCTATGACACTCAAAACATAAGTAACAAAAGAAAAAATAGATTATTTGGATTTTATCAAAGTTAAAAACTTTTATGCTTCAAAGGATACTATCAAAAAAGTAAAAAGGCAACTCACAGAATGGGATAAAAATATTGGCAATGCATATATCTTGTAAAGGATTGGTATCTGGAATATGTAAATAACATAATAATAACCCATTTTGAAAATGGGCAAAGAACTTGAATAGACATTTCTTCAAAGAAAATACACGAATAGTCAACAAGCACATGAAAAGATGCTCCATATCATTAGTCATCATGGAAATGTAAATCAAAACCACAATGAGATACCACTTCACACCCACTAGGATGGCTGGAACTGAAGAGACATACCAAGCATTAGCAAGGATGTGGAGAAATCAAGCCCTCATACATTGCTGACAGAATGTCAAATGGTGCAGTTGCCAAGTCTGCTTTGCCCGCAGCCTTCTTCATCTCGGCAGATGGCTCCTCCATCTTCTAGTTGCTTACATCAAAAACCCTGGGGTCTTCCTGATTCCGCCCCCTGCCCCCCACCCCCATATACACTCCACGTACAACACACAAGTGAATCCTGTTGACTCTCCTTTCAAAATGCATCCTGATTACATTAGCATTTCCTCTATCGCCACCCTGGTCCAGACCACTACTACCCCTCGCTAGCCTCCTCTACCCCCTTTTCCTGGATCTCCCCACTTTGGCCCAATGGTCCATTTTCCACATAGCAGTCAGAAGGAAGTTCTAAAAACACAGGTCAGACGCTGCCACTCCTAAAGGCTTCTTCCTGCAAGATTTCTCATCACACTCAGAGCAAACTCCAGACTGCACACAGTGACCTGTGGGACCCAGCATGATCTGGCCTCTGGCTGCCTCTTCATCTCCTCTGGCACTCTGCTCCGGCCACATGGGCCTCCTGGCTGTCCTCCAGGCACGAGTACCTTGCACCTCAAGACCTCTGTGCTTGCTGTTTCCCTTCCCCAAATCCATCTCA